TACCCGGTGTGATCGGGATGGAACCCATGTAAAAAATGATTGCACCACAACAAGACGAGGAGGTTTGTAAACAGGAAAACAAAAGCACACCATCAACACACAGGTTGTATTCGATGCTGCCTGTACAGTTGTAGACATTGTTGTACAGTGTCCAGGATCTACATGCAATTCATGGATTTTAATGGAGAGCTGTTTGAGAGGATCATATTTCAGCTGGATGTCACCAGGTAGGGGACAGTGGAAATCTTCACATACCTCAATCCACAGCCGGGACCACAGCTACATCACAACAGGTACAGGTACAACAGCCTGTGGCTAATAGGCTGCCAGTTAGGTGTGGTCAGGTAGTCTATGACAGGGTTTTTTTTTTTACATTGAGAGAATTGTTTTTATAGTAAAATTAAATTCTCCCAGGTCGACACAAACCTTATCATACAGATACATATTGTAGGATGCACTACTTTTGCAAACAGCACCTAATCCGTTATTATATAATTTCTATTCGTTTATTTCAGTGTTTTTTTTTCGTTTTTTTTTAATTACTGCTGGATGTTGCACATGCGTTTTCACCGGCAAACGCCCAGTCTTTCATCAACCAATTGCTGTGGTTCCTGCAAGCGAGCTCGTCGATGAAAATTGACGTCAGCCATAGCAACGGAGTCGCACTCTTATCTTAGGAGTTTTTGCTTTTCCATACTAAAAGCTGGTCTCAGCGCTTTGTGAATTGGACTTATGAGAAAACTTTTAGTTAGAAATTTTTAGCATGACCTAGGAGTACTCTTAGTGGTAAGACAAAAATCCTTTGTGAATAGGCCTACGTGCACAAATGACTAAGATTTGCCTGATCTCGACAAGATGGAGAGTCAGTTATCATATAAATGACTGCAATGTTATTTTTTGCTCTTGCTCATTTTCATGCGCAATACCATCATAGATGACAGCAATAACCATTAATTTTTTAATGGAAAAGTAACACAGTGACAGGAAGTTTTAAAGAAAATGTTCTATTCAAGGTTTAATAAAGCTGCCACCGTTCAGTCACTGTTCTCTTTGCATTTAAAAGCGCAGAGTGCCTTTAAGTGCATCTAATAATTTAGTAAATATGACATTCACCAAGTCAATCTTCACAAAACAAAATGGAAAATGCTGGCTGACATTTAACTTCAGGAAATAAGCAATTAGCAAACACTGTGCTGCATTGGCATAATGAATGATGAACATTTGTGTCAGGCATTTAACTGATTTCAGTAAATTAATAATTACTGAGTGGATTTAATAAAATTAAGTAAGGCATCAATTATTGCCTTATTTGGATTTTCTATTTACTCAGCCACTGTGGCACAAACAACACTGTAACTGCCAATGAGGACACAAAGGACATGTCCTCAGTGTTATATCTGGGAATTAGAAGCATTTATATTCCACAATTACACACAAATTGGATAAGCTGACCTTTATAAGACCTTTTATCCATAAATTAAGCTAAAATTTGAAGATTTAGTATTTCTTTATTTCAGATATTATGAAAAGGATTGTGAAACTGCATTTAGACTGTGTAGGGAGAAAAAAATATACAGAAAATATACTTTAGCAGTCAAATAAATACACATGTGCAAAATAAAAAACATTTACTGACTTTACTTTGGTGGCTAACTGAGGAAGGTGGTTAGCTTATCTCATCAGCAGACAGTTAGCTTAATAAGCTTTAAGACTGGAGGGAATCACCTATCCTGGCTCCGTCCAAAGGTAACAAAATCTGCCTATCATCACCTTTAAACTCATTAATTATTAAGATATCAGTACTCATCCTAAGTGGAGGGAAATCACTAACTGGAAAAGTCTGGACCTATGATAATAGCTTCTAATGTATTTGAGTTTAACTGAAGAAAGTTTAGAGAAAGCCAAACAAGTCAAACAAGAAATCAATTTGGGAATCATCTGAATAAAAATAGATGATATGGTACTTCTGTAAGTAACATGTAAATAGAGAAAAGTAAGAGGCCAATAACTGAGCCTTGAGGCACGCCATAAGTGAACTGAGAAGTCGCAGAGTTACAATTTAAAATGGCCACACAGAATTTCCTATTAGAAAAATAGGAATAAAACCAATCTAAAACTGTACCTGATATGCCTACCCAACACTTAAGACATTCAATTAATATAACATGGTATGACATGATAATATGATGACATGGTATCATGGTATGGTAAGTTTCTGAACTACAATGTGGGCAGAACTGTCCACTGCTGTAAAAAGAAAAGGCCTTTACATTCATATCTTTGAGGCTGACCATTAAGACAGAGGTCAGAAGGGCGGTAAAAACAGATGTAGAGAGTTAGAGGCTCCTGATTTATCACCTCAGCAGGGCCACAGTGTCAGAGGGGAGCGGATGTAATCGCAGTAATTTGGTCAGGGAGGCAGGATGGTTAATGGAGTGGTAGTGATTCGATTAACTGAGGCTGCTGGGCAATGTAGTGTTTCTAATGGAGTTGGTAGGATGTGCTTGTGTATTTGTGTGTGCGTTCATGTTTTAAGGTAGACCATATTGCGGTTTATAAGTCTGTCACGTTGGATCATTGTTATGGGTGCTTCACACATATACGCCCCTGCAATCTTTGCTTCATAGATCACAGATACACACGTGCAACACATATCTGTACTGCCAAACAGCCAGGTGTTCATTCATGCAGCTTAATGTTGCAGTGGTTCGGCTGCCTCATGACAGCAATTTAAGTTAATGGCAGCAGATAAACAGCGATATGAAGACATAAACAGTCATTACATGCCAATAAAAGAGACAATCAAAGTGGCAAGGGCGCACTAACACATGAGTGGATGCAGATGTGTTGAACACTTGTGCATTTGCACTAGCGGTTTGAGCTGTAGCTAATATCTGCTAAATATGGAGAGCTTTCTTATTAGGATGTTAAACAAGAAGCTATTTCCAGTTACTTAACGGCTGCATGGCCTGATATATAATATCTGTCCTGATAATAGCAGCAGCACTTTCTCTGTACACAGTCACTGCCATTATCTGAAAGACAAGTAGGAATATTTCTCAATACAGAGAAATGGAGTGAAATATTAAAAACTGAACCAGACAGTGACAAGAAACGGCAGCCTCCAGAGTTTACCTTCCAAAATAGCCTGAGACACAGAGAGGAGCACTGCTTTCCATACAGATGAACAGGATTTAATCTCATTTGTACTGTAGAGGAGATTCAGAATGAGGACAGAGGGACAGACACACAGACAGGAAGAGGAGGGAGGAGGAGGAGGAGGAGGAGAGTGGGAGCAAGGACAGAAGAGCTGAAAGAGGGTTGGTGTTTGGTAAAAAGGGTTAGATGAGGTAAAAATGAAGTATAAGCAGAAAGATAACACAAGGCTTAGGTTGGAGAGGAAGATGAAAAAGGTTAAATTGATGAGTAAGTACTTTTGACATATGCTTAAATGAAGACTGTACACAAAAACAATTGTTAGGGATTTAAGTGTCTTTCTGAGTTTTTGATTTCTGCTTTTGTTTCTTTATAGAATTTCTGTCTTTTAACTTGTGCATATTAAAGGGCAAACACACAAATGATGTGAGATTCTGTTATCCTGATATTTCCTGTGGACTTAATGAAGTGACTGTAAAATGGTAGAAAGAAAATTCAAGTGTCTGAAATATTAATTGTGCAGTCTTGATGCAATCATGGTGTCAGCTCCTAAGAAAAAGAGCAACATCTTCTTTCTATTTTACAAAATGTTCATCCATCATCAAGAGAGATTTGTCAGCTTCTCTGAAAAGACATTTTACCACAAACCTGTTCTGTACAGTACTGTATATGTTTATGTATATTTATATACACACCAACATATATATACATACACACACACACACACACACACACACACACACACACACACACACACACATATATATTGTATACACACAAAAAAGGTTGAAAACAACATGTTATACTACAGTTAAGTATAAAGTAAAAATACATAAATAATGTACAAGTACCTCAAAACTACTTCAATACAGTTTTAGGTACTACTTTTAGGTAAATGTACTTAGGTCTTTTCACCACTGGACCAGTGGTTAAGAAATGCCAATGCAGGAAAGCACTGGACATTATAAATTCATATGTAGCAGAACAAGAATGTCTGAGGATGGATTTTTTTGTGGGTGCATAATGAATCACTCTGTGTGTGTGTGTGTGTGTGTGTGTGTGTGTGTGTGTGTGTGTGTGTGTGTATGAGCTTGATTGACGAACCTGACTGGCTGACATTGACAGCATTTACAGAGAGAGAGAGAGTGAATGTGTGTAGTGTGACTATAACTGATGCGCAAGTGGGCATCAGTGTGTATACGTATGCATGCACATACTGTATCTGTGTATGTGTGAATGTGTATGAAGTCTCAGTGAGACCTAGTTATCTAGGTCATAGTGGATGAATTTTTAATTGTACTGTAGTGAGCTACAGTAACCAAGGCACATGAGAAGCTGGAGATAGTAGTTCAAAACTGATGCAGAGACAATGATAATTACACAGATAATTACAAATGGTCTTGCAGGCTGTAAATGTACAACACTTCCGCCTATTCCATATGAACAAGCATGTAGATACGCGCACCTTTCACACACTAAAGCCTCTATTACATACTGGGGGGACTGCTCTACTGTCACTGGACAGGTTGCAGTTACACCGTATGCATCTTAGACGCTGGGTCCTCAGAAAGCCCCCATCAAAACATTTCTATTGGCTGTGTGGTCTTGGTTAATTATTGAAAAAATTGATGCTGACTTGACGCTCAACACGAGACGCAGTGAATGTAATCCAAGCGGTAAGTGTCTTGCAGAGCAAATTAGAAGTATCTAAATGTATTTTGGGTTGAAAAATGAGACATGTCAATGAGAAATTTATATTTTTGCATTAACATCTGTCTGCTTGTAACAAATACAATGTCTTACAGTGACATAAAAATGGACCTCTCTCTCTGTCTTGTCTGCAGTCTTTGTGGCTGATTCGTCAGGAGATGGTGGTTTCCCAGAAGAAGCTTGGCGAGTTTTGTGAGGCTCTGAAGCAGTATCTGAAGAATGTCTCCACTCAGAGAGACTGCTTTCAGTAAGTCTCATTATCACTGCTCCACATTTATACAACTGCTCTGCTGCTGCTGCTGCTGCTGCAGAGTGCGGCACCATAACCCTAATCATTTTAAATATTTAATGTGCTTCAGTGTCAGGACCTCACTGTTTTCTTCTTCATTAACTACTACCTTAGATATTCCCTCCTTTGGTTTTGGAGTGTGGCAGTATTCTTTTGCACACACACACACACACACACACACACACACACACACACACACACACACACACACAGTTAAGCTTTGAGGGGGTATTTCATCTTTCCCAAACCTGAAAAAAATAATTCACAGGTGGTTTGGATCAGTGAGATACTAATATCATGCAGGATAATATTGTACCTGTAATATAGTCTGCTATACACATGCTGTTATAAACCGCATGTGCCTCCAGCTCGGAGCCTCAGGGTGCTGTGAAACAGTCTTAATATCCACAGGGATTTCTTCAAATCCCAGACTCAATATACTGTATCCATAGTCCAGAGTCATATTCTGCATATGCCCTTGGCAAGACTTTAATGTTCTGGCTCTACTGCGCTTTTGCATTTGTATTATAGTTTCTCCTGCCGTTTGCCGCAGTCTGTACTTTGGGATAAATGGTCTGAAAGAGGGGCAGAGACAGAAGGAAGGCTTGAACACTCCCTATAGCACAGGATGCATTCACATAACATGCAATCATTTTGTAAGTTAAGAGAGACCCTTAAAAAAAAAAAAAACTTATTACGTCTTCTAACAAATAGTTGCATTTGTCTTAACTGGCAGCAGAAACACATTTCAAACATAACACTGACAATAGCTTTTAAGTAGATATAATGCATTAATAGTTGCCTATTTACACATCTAGCAGACACAGAAAATCATCATCATTCATTTAAATTTGTGTTTCAGGCCAACTAATGAATGTTAAGTTCAATACTCACACTCCATTTAGCTCTGCCTCAGTCTCCACCAACTCCTGAGGGAAATATCTGCCTCTTTAGTGGCTAAAAGCTCCACTGTGTTTACCAGCTGGTCTCTTACTGTGTCTGTCTACTGTTGATGGGTAGTTTTTCACTGAAAACAGCTTCCTGAGACTGGGAATGAGAGTGGTGAGGCTAAATGATAATTGTGAAGTAACCAAGACAATTACCTAAAAGATGCTAAAACACTCCTCCTAAGAGGAACTGCAAAGTGAGGTGATAATTCTCTGTGGGTTCAACAGTACAAGCAACGCCTTTCACATAGTAGTCATGTGATCCACTTTTAATAAAAAAAATACTGACTGTAGCAGCTTTAAAGTTAAGCACAAAACTGACACTGTGGCAGACAAGACAAGTACTATATATCTAATTACAGTGCCTATAAAAAGCATCCAACCTCTACACCCTGTTTTTTTGCCTTGTTTTATTGTCTCACAACATTCAATCATAGTTGATGAAATTAATCAATAAAAGCAAATCTTAAGTGTCAAACAGAAAACAAAACTCTGCAAAAAATCTAAACAAATTAGAAAACAGAAACTAAATCATTCATTAAGTGTTCTCTCCTCCTCTCCTTAACTGTAACACCTCTAAATAATCACTGGTGCAGTCAGTTGTCTGAAGCTGTTGCATAATAAGTTGAATGGTCATGGTTGTGTGTTGTAAGGATGAGACATTTGACAGACCCAGCTGCTGTATAGTCAATTTCATGTCTAAAACTACATCACAAAGACAAAGGAAGATTATTGAAGTAATGTACTTAACATATGAGGTGACAGACAGTGAATATCCTTCAGAGTACAGCAAAGTCAGTCATAAAAATGAAAAGAGATGGTGCAGTGGTAAATTTCCTCTCAAAAACTCTGTGTCTGTGTCGGCTTAGGGCAAGCAGGAAAGCAGAAGAAACAGACAACCTTCTAATTTCCACATAAACACAAGGCTTAAACTGCTGCTATAGGTGCCTCTGCTAAATATTAACTAAAGTAGGGTGAATACATGCAATGATTTTCTGATTGGGGAAGAACCATTAGATCAAGGTCTAATGATGAGTAACACATTTAGATTCAAAAAGTTGATCATACAGTATCAAAAGAATAAATCCATATTTTTTGTACCAACCTCATTCCAATTTCTCCACATTTTGTGACCTGCCAACAGAATAGCGACAGCATATCTTTTAATAAATTGGTGCCTGTGGGGAGAGGCTGTTCCAGAGCAAATAATGTCCTAAAATCATCTCGCTGCAAGATCCTCTAAAGTGGAACAGGGCAAAGGTTTTTGGAGCCCGAGGAAGTTGTTGTTTATCTTTGTGTTGTGAAGAGTTGTGTCAGTCAAGGCCCTGTAGTGAACCAGCTCTACCCAGCTGAGAAACTTGAGCCTGGACGTCCTGACCTTTGAAAGCCTGTGGTTAAAAATCTCTTTTGCTGCTGTGAACATTCAGCAATTGACTCTTTGATTTACTGATGCTGAGCCCAGCACTGTTTTGTCAGCAGATATGGGTTAGCATGACCTTTTTAGCATTAACAAAGTGTGTGTTTGTATGTCTGTGGGTAATGTTAATAAAATCTAATCAAAACAAACAAAAATGACTATATTGAGACAGAGGTATACAGAAAATTTAAATATGAACCATGTACGTCATATTGTCCACACAACCACATAGAAATCAAATTCAAGGACATTTTAATATTAATTTCTAGCCAAGTTAGCAGCATGTATCTAGGTACACCCATGTCTGTTTTTCCACCTCCAGAATATCTCAGCAGCTACTGCATAAGTTTTTGGATCAGTTTTTGGAAATGAAATAGTACATTTTAGAAGAAGAAATCATGGTTAAATCATTGATTTTAGAAGTGCTAATATCCATGAGAAGTCAGTTTTGCTCAGTATGTGAAGCGGGTGAGCATATCATTGAATTTTGATATTTTATTATTAGTAACTCCATTTTCAAACAACATTTTTTGTAATTCAATTCACAAACTAAATAGGATTTTCAAGGTCTGTGGGAACCTTAGCAGCCCCTTTCCTAACACATGAAAAGTCTTCATCTCAGTGAATCACACACTCAGTCATACCCATTTCACACGCTCCTCAAGAAATAGAACACACAGGTGGAAGAAGCACAACAACACAGTCATTCAGATTCTGTTATTAGTGGTTTGTTTGTGTTTAGTAGATTTTTCACTGGTTTGTTGGTAGCTTTGTTGCCTTCTTACTTTAGCAGTAAGAGGCAGGGCAGCACAATGCTAATAGATAGCTGAAGTAAATAATGCATGAGGGAGAAGGCAGTTTGTTGGAGGAAACCTACTCATTAGCTCTGAACAGACTTTTCTTTCCTGTGTGCTGTCTTTCTTTTGTGTCACTGTGTGTCTGTCCTTGTCCCTCTCCTCATTTCCTCATTCAATCTTGCACAAAGTAACTAATCTACAAAGTTTATTTGATCTCAGTCTTCCCTGCTCATTATCTTTTAGGTTGAATGTGTGATTGCATGCACAAACACTTCATCATGTCCTCGATGAAGCTCACATAACTTATATTATGTCTTTTAAAGCCCAGTGGAGATTTTTGGCAGTTAGAAGCAACTTGTCAATCAGTACCCTCTTCAGGCAGATGCCTTTATTTCCATCGCATCAATATCTTTTAGACTACTTATGCACTCCTAAGGCCAAGTGATGAAAATCCAATCTTCAGATGACAGAAAACACAGGCAATGGCAAGGTATTGTCAGTGGTCATCTGATGCATTCAGTGAACGGAACTGAATACATGGTAGTACCTAATCTAAAACCACCATGCCGCCCCATCACAAAGTCATTGTATAGTAAGGCATAAAAATGTCATAGTATAGTAAGGCATACAAATGCCAAAAATATAATAGTATAGTATGACATAAAAATATAAAAAAACGTCATAGTATAGCATCGCATAAATATGTAGAAAAACGTCATAGTATAGTATGGCATAAAAGGTCAAAAAAACATCATGATATATTAAGGCATAAAAATGCCAAAAAATGTAATAGTATAGTATGGCATAAAAGGTCAAAAAAACATCATGATATATTAAGGCATGAAATGTCATAAAAACGTCATTATATAGTGAGGCATGAGACGACATAGTATAGTAAGGCATAAAAATGCCAAAAAATGTAATAGTAAACTATGGCATAAATTTGTCAAAAAACATCATAGTATAGTATGGCATAAAAATGTCAAAAAACGTCATACTGTAGTATGGCATGAAATGTCATAAAAACGTCATAGTATGGAAAAGAATTAAACGAAATAGTATAGTAAGGCATAAAAATGCCAAAAAATGTAATAGTATAGTATGGCATAAAAAATGTCAAAAAACGTCATAGTATAGTATGGCATAAAAATGTAAAAAAACGTCTTAGTATGGAAAAGAATTAAACGAAATAGTATGTTAAGGCATAAAAATGCCAAAAAATGTAATAGTGTAGTATGGCATAAAAAATGTAAAAAAAACATCATAGTATGGTGTGGCATAAAAGGTCAAAAAAACATCATGGTATATTAAGGCATAAAAGGTCATAAAAACGTCTGAGTATGGTAAAGAATTAAACGATATAGTATAGTATGGCATAAAAATGCCAAAAAATGCAATAGTAAAGTATGGCATAAAATTGTCAAAAAACGTCATATTGTAGTATGGCATAAAAATGTCAAAAAACGTCATACTATAATATGGCATAAAATGTCATAAAAACGTCTCAGTATGGTAAAGAATTAAACGAAATAGTATAGTAAGGCATAAAAATGCCAAAAAAATGTAATAGTATAGTATGGCATAAAAAATGTAAAAGAACGTCATAGTATAGTATGGCATAAAAGGTCAAAAAAACATCATGGTATATTAAGGCATAAAATGTCATAAAAACGTCATTGTATAGTAAGGCATAAGACGACATAGTATAGTAAGGCATAAAAATGCCAAAAAACGTCATAGTATAGTATGTCATAAAAGGTCAAAAAAACATCATGATATATTAAGGCATAAAAATGC